GCAGCTCCCTGCGGGGGCCCCCCTCCTCACCACACACCCCGTTCCCACTATTCCCCTGCCTCAGAAAACCAAGGTCAGTGCTGGTCAACCCTGTCCCTTCTTCAGACAGCTCAAGTGTGGCCTCCAACAACTCCTGGCCACAGTACTATGTCTTGACTGCCACACTCAGCACACGCGACAAGCCCCAAGAAAGTTCTGGAATGGGGTGTTCCCTGTAGCTATTCCTAGGACCAAAGGTTTGGTGGGGCTGGAGGTCGTGACAAACATTTGGTCTCAGGCTCTGGCCTGACTGGACCTCACTTGAAACGTGGAGGAAGGGGAGGCAGGTCAACTGGGCAACGGAGGGTTTTCCTCCGTTTGCCAGGAAAACCCTGCCTCCTCAGGTCTGCTTTCTCTGTACAAGGACACAGTTCCGTGAGAACCCAAGGACTCAGCCTTTCACACAGGTGCCATTTCCACTGTCCCTACCCTCTGAGTCCACCCCTAAACCTGGTGGGAGCCTGAGCCCAGGTAGCCACATGTACCCTCTTTTTGGGGCCTCTGTACGGGGCCACTGCCGCTTCCCCCAGTCCCTGCCCCTGCCCCATCACATACTCAGGTCCGTCTCTCCAAAAGTCTATGTACTCCAGGGGAAATGAGTCAAAAGCCCAAACCAGGCCTGAGAGAAGGCTCAGTAGTTAAAGCTGTTCGTCACTAAGTCTGATGTACAGAGTTTGGTCTCTAGGTTGCCCTCTGACCTCCACATGTACACTAGGGATCACATGACCACACACATACATGGCTCACAAAACAAATAAATGTAATTTTTTAAGAGCTCTGCCTGCAAAGAGTACCTACTCTGAGTAGCCCTCCCTCAGGTGTGCCATTCAGCCAAGCTCGGGATTTGGGAAATTTGTTCCAACAGAGGCCTCATTCTTCCTGCTGCTGGCTCTCATTGTCCCTCATGACTCCACACATTCTTGGGCCTTAATGAGAAGCCAAGACTGCCATGGGCTTTGCCCTGCCCTTGTCAGTGTAACCCCGAGGTCTGTAGCAGGTGCTGGGGGAGGGTGGGCCGGGGCCCAAAGAAGGGAGTCAAGAAGAAGGAGATGGGGGCCAAGGGCAGGGGGCAGGATGGATGGGGAAAGGGTAAAGTCAGAACAGAAACACACTAAGAGAAACTGAAGGGGATGGAGGTTCGTGGAAATATTAGAACATCTTCTACAAGTAAAAGGAACTTAACTTTTTTGAGTGGAAACTCTAGTGCATGCACCCGCAATTACTTATGTCTGAGTTTTTTCTTTTTCTTTCTTTCTTTTTTTTTTTTATGTGGCAGTGTTTCTCTGTAGCTTTGGAGCCTGTCCTGGAACAAGCTCTTGTAGACCAGGCTGGCCTCAAACTCAAAGAGATCCTCCTTCCTCTGCCTCCCGAGTGCTGGGATTAAAGGTGTGCACCACCACCCGGCTCATGTCTAGTATTGTTAACATTATGGTCACAGTTAGGAAAACTGAGGCTTTCTTGGGACTTTTTCTTTTGCTAGAGGGGTGTGTGATGGGGAATAGGGAAAGGGGTAAAAGGAGAGAGGAAAAGAGGAAAACACATGAAAGTATGGGAAGCAGACAAGCCCAGGGCTGAAGCGGCACTAGGGAGAGCTAGGGAAACAGAAGAACGAGAGACCTGTGCAGAGTGAGGTGAGGAGGAGGGCCCAGCATACAGGTTAAAGCATCCTGACCTCCAGCCATTCCCTCAGAAATCCACTGCCTATTGGGAAAGCAGACACTGAGAGCAGCTGAGATGCCTTTCCTCAAGAACTCTGCACAAACTGGAGAAGCCAGGTCAGGTGAGAATGAAGCCTGTTGCACAGGAAGAATGCTAACTTTTAGTGATTCCCTCTGAAAACACTTCCCTTCCAGGGCCTCAGGCTACTTCTGGGTCTTCCAGATTGACAGTGGTTCCAGCTAAAGGTAAGCCAAGGAGAGCAGGTCTCTCAAAGGACAGAGGTGGGGACATGCCAATAAAACATCAGCTCTCCAAAGAGAGAAGGGCCAGCGACAGACTGGGCTTAGCCCAAGGACAGTAGATGCCACCAACGTTCCTAGAGAAGACCAAGCGCATGTACACAACTGTTTTCCAGATCTACACTGGACACCCAGGAGTCCCATACTAAATGGGATGCTTGTGTGGAAATCTTTAATAAATTCAATTAACCAAACCTATGATCCCATCAAAGATGCATGAGTCCACAATGGAACTGACTGATTCATGAATTCACAATGGGACTAGCTGACTCTCAGAGATTCTTCTCCACCTATGTGTCTTTTGGGGCTACTTTGAGCCCGGGAGACCTGTCTCCGCTCACGGTGGCAGAGCGAGGGGACCTTGGGATGATAGATATTAAGGCACTTACTCCCACCAACTGTCTGCTTGTAGGTTCTAGGCTGTGGGATGTGATGACGAGCTGTATAGCACTCCAATTCCACCCATCATGGTGGGAGGCACTGCTGTAGGTTCAAAGGAGCCTCAAGAGATTCAATCTGTTGTCTCTGCTCCAAATAGACCTCCCAATGTGGAAGTGTGTTTGGGATGGATCAGTACTGACCCAGACAGCTAGGTTCTGAAGAACCTGCTGACTCCCAAACACTGTCCCCCAGACCAGAACCAGACCAGGAGTGGGCTTGCCGCAGAGAACAGGATGGCCTCCCTCTTTCTAGCCTAGACTAGGTAGCCTTTCCCATGGTTTGAGTCCGCCCTGCACACCTTCCATTTCTACCCCCAAAGCATGAACAGCTCAGGTTCTCTCTCATTTAGCAGTTTGAGAGCCCCCCTAGAGGAGGTGGATGCTCCTCCATTGAACAGGAAAGCACAGCGAAGTCAGGCAGGAATTTTCTTTTGCCCAGGGGCTTCTCCAGTTGACCTTTTCTGAACATTTCCAGGCAATGAGAAGCAGCTTCTAACCTAGCAGGTCCTTGGGCTCTTGGAGAAGGACAAAGAGGATGATGAAGAGGAAGAGAAGAAAGAGGAGGAGGAAGAGGAGGAGGAGGGAGGCAACAGCAGCCTGGTAACAGCCTCAGGCAAATCATAGTAGAGAAACTAAGGAAACAGCCAAGGTGGAAGGTGAGGGGACAGGTCTCTCCAGTCTTGGTACCACCAGGCCTCCAATCCCTACTAAGCCTGTTGGCCGGACTTTAGAAGGAAGATTTAAGTATGAGCTTATGTCACCAGAGTTCAAGCTCCCAAGTATAGGACCCAGGCTACAGATTTGGTTCTCAGTCAATCATGCTGTTAAAGAAAAATATGACAATGGGCCATTGGCAAATTTGCATGCAGTTTGCCTGAGAATATCATGAATAATATCAAACGGTTCTCACATCTGCCCAGGCCTTGTCCTCCCCTTTCGGTCATGTCCCCTCATCTGCAAAAGATGATGAGGTGTATGGGGACAGCTACTCCTTCAGTGAATGTGCATCAAGGATAGGTCAAACACCGTGTAGACCCTTGGATAGGACTCATGCTGGTACCGGTGAGGGACAAGCCACCGCGCTTTAAGTCAGAGCTGCCCTAGGTCTTCATCAATCAGTTTGATGACATGACTCCAAGCTTGGGACAGGCTAGACTTGACCACGCCTACTCTCAATTCTCTGTGTCCTCATCCTGCTCTGAGGAGAATGACCCCACTTCTGAAGCCTGCCTGCCAGACAGTCATAGCTTTGAATGCATAGCAAGAGTGTAGAGGCAAGAGGAAGCACCCAGTAACCCCCCTTGGAGGAAACCTGAGGTGGGTGAATATAAGAGCCTGCATCTGTGAGAGCCTTGATAAAACTGGACAATTTGAAAAGTAAAAGCCATTTCCAGCCTTGTTCCTCAGCCGGGGCACCCTTGAAGGTCTAAGTCCCCAAACTGGCACCATGAGTACCTCCTGGAGGACAATCCCTTTCTCTCAATGCAGAACCCAGTCACCAAGGAGCTGACTTCCGCTGCTAAGTTAGCCCTGAACTAAGTTGTTCACCGACAGAGGAAAGTACCTTGGAAAATTCATCAGGGAAAATTAAATCAGACTGGGATAGAAGAATCTGCTAATGAAGACTGGGGCCCGGAACACCGGTGCTCCCAGAGGAAGGCTGTGGAATGTTGCTTAGAAAGAAGGACTCTCCCTCTGGGCCCTAGTCGCCCTCTCCTGACCGGCTCTGGAGAGGCAGGGGCCTTCCTTTAGGGGCACTATCCGTGGTCAGGGACCCTTTTACATGAAGGGAAGTATCTGATCATCTCAAGGCTGCTTTGTCGGGCCTCTACCAGGGTTCCTCCTTCTAGGTGGCTTCTCCCCGGCCCTTGTTAGGTCAAGGGCTGCTAAGGGGTACTAGGGGTGGGCTCAGAGGTCCCAGTTCTACCACAATGACTGGAAAGGGTTGGAGGGAGAATGAAGTAGCTAGTGTCCCCCTCCTCCCGGGTACATGATTGCCTCACATTTGCTGGAGTTGGTGGTTTTGCACTGGACATGGCTCCTCCCGGCCTCCTTCACAAGGGCTTCCAGGACCTCTCTCTGCTCCTGGGGTACCATGCACCGCTGCTTCTCCGTTCTATGTGCCAAACAAATGCACAGGTGCTACAACGTCCCGGTCCCTGCCTCAGTTTCAGCCCCTTCTTCGTCGCATTCCACCACGCAGCGAAGGAGAAGAGGGAAGCACTCAAGAGTGGCTTTCACTCAGCCACGGGAGGTAGACTCAGCTTTAGAGGGCGAGCTCCCTCACCTTCCCTCCTGAAGCCCCACTAACTGTGAAATCCTTCAGAAGGAACAAAGGCAATGGAACCTGGGTGGGGGGCTTCCTTTTTGCCTAGCTAGGGCAGTGGTTGGCACAGGCGGCAGCGGGTCAGATCTGGCTTTCAGGTGAGCCTGCCGGAGGTGGAGGGGCCCGCCCAACCCAAAGCAGAGACGCCAGTCCTCGGCGGTTCCCGGCCCCCAACCCGGCCCGCAGAGGGGTCGCCGACTCCCAGCACTTTCTGCCTGTTTTCCGCTCAGTACTCACAGTTCGGATGCTGAGCCGGCTCCTCTCTTGTACTCACTTCCTTTGTCTCCCGTCTCCCTCTTTCCCTCTCCCTCTCCAACCTCTCTCTTCCCTCCTCGTCTGATTCTCGGCTGTAGCTTCCAGCGTAGAAAAATAATTATTCTTCTCAATGGGTTCGCACGGGGCGCGCACGTACACACACACACACACACACACACACACACACACCACCGGGTACCCAATCAATGCATAAATCTTCGGGGTCCCTTTAACCTCTGCGGATGACTCCAGGAGTTAATTATGAAGCCTATTTCGGCATGGCATAAATATGCATTAAGGGATGAAATGACAACCGACGCGCTGAACTTCAGGGAACTGGCATTTAGACAGACTTCGTCTCGCCCCCGCCCCCTCCCGCTCGCTCCTTGGCCCCAAAAACCACCTCCCCAGCCTCGCGCCCTCCGGGGCTCGCAGGGATCGTCGCTGGCTCCTCTCGGCAGTAGCCGCACCTCCGGCGCCCCCTGCGGCGGGGCAAACCCTCGCGGGCCGCTCCCTCCAGTCCTCGCCCCGCAGATCGCGGGGTCCCGGCCGGGGTGGGGTTTCCATCTGAGAGCAGCCGCGAGCTGAGTCCCGGGAAGAGCCGGAGCGAGCCAGCTACCTGCCCGCACGCCCGAGTTCTGCGCGGGCGAGAAAGACCGCGAAGCCGGTCCTCTCTGCCCGCGCTGCCGCCTCGCGCCTTTGGGTCCCGACCCGCACACACACGCGCACCCTTGCACACGCGCGCGCACACACGCACTCACACGCACCGCCTGGCGCGCATCGACACTCCTGCGCGCGCTCACGCCCTCTCACACTCAGGCTGTAACAAAGGAAGGGGCCAGCGCTGCCTTACTTTTCTTCCGCCTCTCTTTTGCGGCCCCCTAGCCCCGGGCCGGCGGCCGGCCCACCCGCCCTCCACGCCCCCCGACGGCGGCGGGCGGCTGGCAGCCGAAGCAGCGCGGCGCAGCGGCAACTTTGCGCCCGGCGGGCGGGAGACAAAAGCTGCGGCGCAGCCGGAGGCCGCGTGGCCAAGGTGTGCTCTCTAATTGTCAGGAAATGTGTGTGTGTGTGTGCGCGGCCCGAGCCCGCGGGCGGGGGAGGGGTGGCCGCGGGAGCGGGAGAGAGGACGAGGGGACCACCCCACCCCCAGCCCACGCCACTCGCCCGCGCCCGGCACCCGAACCGGGATTAGAGAATAAATTATCTGCTGTCTTCTCATTGGGCCGTGGTTGAGGACGCCGTCGGCGGCGCCCGGCTGGGAGCTCGCCCAGCTCTTTGCATTCACCGCACAGCTCCGGCTCGCCGCCCTTCGCGGGGGCTGAGAGCCCAGGGCTGGGCTCCAGACACCAGAGGACACCAGCCGTCTGGCCGCGCCACCCCTCCTCCGAACTAGCCTGAGCCCTACTCCCTTCCCAATCTGTCTGGTGTCTTGGGGACAGGAGACTGGGGGAAAAGATGCCTCGGTATCTCTCCTCTTTGCCTTCACACCCACTCCGAAGGAGAAAGTGCAGGGTGGCTGGGGACCAACACGTGGGACTCACCCATCACAACCACAGAGGGTTTACAGCGTTTCCGTGACCTGGGCCCTGACCTCCGTTCCCACAGGCAACAATGAGGAGAGAGAGAGAGAGAGAGAGAGAGAGAGAGAGAGAGAGAGAGAGATTGCTCTGCTACCCACTCTAAGTGCACACTTCCTGGGCCTGCCTCTGACCCTCCAGGGAAGAGAATTTAAAACTGCCTGCTTAAGAAATGTCTCTAAGAGCTCCTTGCAAAGAATTCATTCGTTTATTTAGCAAACCACATCCAGGGCCATCCTGTGTGGTGACATCCACTAGGGAGGAGTGCCAAGCCAAGAAGCAAGACTGAGAGGAGGCAAAGTCTAGCCGAGGAGGTGGTGCCCGTCTTGTGTTCCAGCAAGGTCTGAGCCCCCCCACAAAGAAAACCAGGAATGATTTGCTTCAGTCATCCATGCAACAAATGATTTAGCATGTTTTACATGCCAAGTTCTGGAGAAAGCACTGAGGATATACTGGTGTCCAGTTCTCTGGAACACACAGTCTAGCGGCAACATGGCCATTGGTGTGACAGAGCTAATTAGGAAGTGTGTGTGTGTGTGTGTGTGTGTGTGTGTGTGAAATGAGCCCAGAAAGGTTTCTCTGAGAAAGGAGGGCTAAAAAGGATGAAAGATGGGATGAGGCGGGAAAAGAGAGAGCTCTAAGCAGGGGGATTTGTAGGTTCGTGAGCTGCTGGTAACTGCTCATTCAAAGACAACCAGATGCCCATCATATAGACGGGACGTGCAGAGGGAGTGGTCCATAGAGTTAATCTCCAGGATCTGCAAACTGACTCTCAGAGGCTCACTCTGTTGCTGCCAGCTTTCAACACGGACCATACCCAACTGTTGTCTGCTGCAACTGAGCCAACCGGATGCTTGCTAATCCAGGAGTTCTAGATGCTCACATCGCTTCATCTGGTAACACCGGGCCATCACACGGGAAAGCTGCTATGCACTGGACCCCTTTCCGTGAGCTGGGATTGTTTGCTCAGTTTCCACCTTTATCATGTCTGGGTTTTTAACAACAGTCCTGTGACTCCATTGCTGTCCTGCAGATAGATGAGAAACTGAGTCAACAAGAGAGAATGGCCTGTCTGGGACCACACATAGATTCAGTGCCCTACAGAGTTTGTGGCTTTCCGCTATCATTCTAGTAGCGCTCAGCATCCAGCCCTGGTACTGTCAGTGAGCCTGAGGAGCACTGGGAATAAGGGGTCCTCTGCCTCTTCCAGAGCCTTCAGCACCTGGGACAGGGCTCCGAACATCCTTTTTCACCCCTTCCAGCAGACCTGAATCTAGTCTGCCGTGAAAGAAAGGGGATAATTCAGGAATAAATTTAGGAGCAAGGTGTTGTGGTCACTGGATGAACTTTGAACTTTGGATGTGCCGCTGTGCCTACATGCTCTTCACTTAGCCTTTCTGAACCGTAGTTCATTCCTTCATTGACCCAGCGGTATTCACAGTATGTGCGAGGTTCTCATGAAGAATGAAGTTGTAACATGTGTGAAGTATCTATGGAAAAACACACAAACTATCGATTGGGAACAGCCGTTACTTCTGGGAAGAACTGGCTGCGGGCGGCGCCTATATTTTAGGGCTTATTATTTAGTAGTGGTAAGGCTATGCCTGTGTTACCTGTGCAAAATAAATAATGCAGCATTTTGGTGAGAGTAAAACAACGTGACGGCAGCACTAAGTGAGTATTCCATGCCCCTTTGCTGAACCAGGTGGGGTTTTGTCTTTTGAAATGCCAAGGTGAGCCATTGAGGAAAATAGATGTCTCTCAGAAAGTGGATGCTACCAAGGAGTTTGCACACAACCCAAGCACAGGTCTAGATGGTGAGCCAGTTCAGATATTTTCAAACCTAGAATCTCTGTAATGCAGCCCTGGGCCGCAGAGGGAAACAGTACTGCATAGATGCTGCTTTATTGAGAGACCCAAATCCCTCCAGGGAACAGGTGAGTCAGGGTACAACAGAGTGATGAGGTCTGGGCCACCCCACCCCACCCCGCACGGGTCCTTGTGTCCAGAGAGGCTGGACAGGAGCATTCGGGTCTGGAAACTTTGCTGTGCTTCTCAAGCTTGTGAGCCAGTTTCTTGCCTGGCAGCCTCTGGTCCCCAAGAAAAGCCGAGAGCGGCAGGTGCGAACCTAAGGAGGGAGGGCACCTTCTCCTGTTACCCTGCAGGTATTGAGTCCCGGGCCAGGACAGGGCAGCCATTCATCAGTCAGCACAAAGAGACACTCTCTCAGCTACACGAAGACCAGGCCAGGTCACCTCAGACACTGGGGCATAACATCAGAGGGAACACCAGAGGCCTCTCAGAGGAACGCTTTGGACTGGGGGCTAATGGCGTGGGGGAGGGTTGTGATAGAAAAGACACATCTTAGAGAAGGGAAAGTCCATCGTGATCTGAAGGAGGGAGGCAGATATGATGGAAGAGACTACAAAAGTAGAAATTAAACTGAGTACAGGGAGCTGGGAAGATGGCCCAGAGGGTGAGAGTACTTGCGAGACAATCTCAAGGACCCGAGTTCAAGTCCTAGAACCTGTGTAAAAAGCCAGACATGACAAGAGCCACCTACAGCCCCGGTACTGTGGGGAGGAAGGAATAATCCTCAGCACCCACATCGTAGGTAGGCAGGGGAATGATTGCCGCACCCAGTTCTGGGAGGCAGAGACAGGATGGTCCTGGGGACTTGCTGGGAAGCCACGCAGTCTAGGCAATCAGTGAGTTCAGTGAGTTCAGTGAGAGCCCCTATTTCCAGAAACTAAGGGGAAGGGTTGTAGAGGGAGATGCCTACATTGACCTCTGGCCTCCATATGTGTGTACAACAAACATGCATGCTCTCTCTCACGCACACACACACATACACCACACACACACACACACACACACACACACACACACACACACACACCAAATAGACTATTCCTTCTGGAGAGCTGCCAGGGACAGCAATGTAATTGTAGCATTTGAAAGGTGAAAGCAGGAAGGTCATGAATTCTAGGCCCGGGCTATAGAATGAGACTCTATCTTTTTTGTTTGTCAGTTGGTTTGTTTTTCAAGGTTTTTCTCTGTGTAGTCCTGGCTGTCCTGGAACTTGCTCTGTAGACCAAGCTGGCCTTAAACTCACAGAGATCCATCTGCCTCTGCCTCCTGAATGCAAATATAGCATATATATATATGTATATACATATATACACACATATATACATACACACACATATATACACACACACATATACATATATACACACACATATATATACACACACACATATATACATATACACACACATATACACACACACACACACACACACACACACACACACATATATATATAGAGAGAGAGAGAGAGAGAGGAGATAGGTAGGTAGACAGGCAGGTAGGTAGATGAACATGTCAGCGACCCAAGGCTGGAATAGCTATCATCCAGAAGAAAGGAAATGTCTTCTTTCTCAGCAAGTTTCCAGAAGAAAGTCTGTGTTGAGGCTGCGTTGTTTTACC